GAGACAGTATATATATATAATATTCACACGCAAGTAGGCCTACATTCGCCAGTTACAAGTTAGAACAATGCTTTGAACAACTACTTTCATTATGAAGTTTAATAATCTGAGGTTATTTCTGTATGCCCTACAATAGTTACATCAGGGAAGTATTTTTATCGATATTACTGCTCCGAATGAAACAAAGTCTTCTTTAACTATGGTATTTCAGACAACGTAGTCTGATTTCAGTTTTGAATAGTCATTCAAATTGTTTAAACTTTAAAGCCTACTTATAAACTGACGGCTACAAATTGTGCCACCGCACCGACAGATTTAAATTACAAACATTTTTATGAAGTGATACATAAGCCTACAGGTTAAAAATATACTCACGAAAACAGCTGTTAGTTGGGCATTGTCTAGGATAACAGGCACCCTGGAATTTAAGTTTGCTTGCTGAGCGTCCCCAGATCGAAGCGCTTTCTGTCCCACTGATGATCCATAGCGATAAAAATCTTGCCTTCGAAGGCTAAGTGTACTTGCAGCTAGGCCTACAAGCAATAATAGCTGTCCAAGATAACCCATGTCCGTTCACCCACACGATGTTTGACTTGGCGGCTTACAAAAGAGGCAAGACAGAGGCACTTCCCTGAGCTTAACACAATGCAAGTGCTTAACTTACTTAAGTCCCAAAGTTTAGAAGCGGAGCAATTTTGGGATGTTCCACTGTCTGCAAGGGGCGCTGTATACAGTATTATCAAATTATGGTTAAGCCTAAGTCAATTAGACGACTATATTAATTCTCTTTGTTACGATCTAAAATGAGGATATAACAGTTAAAACGAAGCATGCAGTTGATGAGTTTTGTTTTACATTCAGTAACCGGTAAACACAGGAACATATGTTCAGAGCATTCCAACAATAATTACATCTGTTTATTCAAATGAATAAATACAAACATGTTTATTATTCAGATAATTTCAACTTGTTATTTTGATATGATCATAACTGCTACACAGCACAGAATACACTAAATGACAGTGTAATCAATAGTTAGATTTGTTGTTAAGGTTTTAATTAAAAGCACTGATTGACAGCTCCCCGGAGTTGGAAGAGTTACACTCACAAAATAAGGGCATATAACAATGAATAATTATCATTGTTACTACTACTATATTAGTCCATCAATAATAGGTTATTAGCGTTAAATAATATTAATTAAAAAAAACCCATTATTATTAGCATTATAAAATAATATTATTAATATTAATAATCATTATTATTAGCATGATTATTACAAACATAGGTCCATAGTAAGTACACTTATAGTTTTTAAATTGCACTCAACATTTTTGTACATAAAAAAGGAGAAAGGAAAGAAAAGCAAACAGTGTAAGAGGACTATTTAGACTTTAGGTGTACGTATCCCAAAGGAAGTAGTTATTATAATATCAGACAATTGTGGTTATAGGCCTACAAAGCCAGAGTAAGTTATCTTTGTTTAGGATTTCAAAGCTCAACAAGTAAACAACATCATTCAATCATGGTAGGCCTACCAATAGAGCTGTTAGTTTGTTTCTAAATAAGCCCAGCAAAGAGTCCTCCCACAGAATCTGGTCAATGGATAGATTGTGTTAAATTTATATTATTATTATAAATGATGTTATTATTGAGAGATCATATCGTGTTGTGAAGACTTGTAGGCCAGTAGATACGCTTTGTGAAACTTTGAGTAAAAGCCTACTTTTCTAACCATTGTTAAAAGATTCATGGTTTAAAGTAGGGGACCTAAGTTAAATAATGAGGCTTTCACAAACACTGAAAACAGCAAATCACAAAAACGTTTCCAAATGCTAAAGGGTATTAAGCAAAACATTTCTAAAGGTTGAAAACACTATACTAAGACTTATTTGAGCAGTTTATTACATCTATGGTAGCGTTTGCCACAGGGTGGTGAGAACAAAGAAATGACCCGGGAGTTTTGAGCCAGCTCCCATTGCAAAACGTATACCTTGCAAAAGCAGACCCGTTGTTGCATTGTTATCGCTCACCTATGCGAAATTAGTCATAACCCAACATCTTAATCTGTGAAGTCATAATTTATTTCAAGGAACGGGTTCATTTTGTAAAATGGTGATCATTTTGTATGGTGATCATTTTGTAACCATTGTTTTTTTTTGTATCATGGAGGAATAAATAATTTATTCCTCCATGGTTGTATAGAGGAATTGTGGTGTTGGTATAAATTAATAATATTATAATTGATACCAATTTAATTCCATACTAGTGACATACTATATATAAATAGGCTTATATTGATATAGGCCTATATCTATACCTACCTGTATATGTGTGAGGTTGGAGTGCTGTGTGTTTAATCATGGAGGAATTCATGGTTTAATATAGACATTTCACGTCTGATACAAAATTCAGGTGTGACAAAATCTTTATTATTTTCCATAGTTAGGCCTACCTGTTTTTAAGCGACGTGAGACTCCGGTAAAGACCACTATATAAAATTATTCAGATAGTCCTCTATTATTATTGTTACTGTATTGCTGAAGGGAAGAATCTTACTATTAAGCTTAATTATCTAAACACTTTTCGGCTTGGCTATGCGTATTAGGGTAAAAAAAATTCAATGATTTTTTCCTTCTTCATCGATCAGGGTTTTTTTATCAGGGTTTTCTGTCCAGCACTTTGGTCACTTACCGTGCTTGGATCTTCTTCAAACTTTGTCCAAGCAAAAGTAATATAGGCCTATAGTTGTGCTTGTTAAAATATAAAGTCATTTTACTTAATTTGAATATAAAAAAGCGCGTAATTAAACTTTTATGTTAACGCAATTTGCGTTTTCTAGAGCGTTTCAAACTAGCTGCAGATAGGTTAAACACAAACTTACCATTAATTCCATGAACAATATTCGCCCTTAACCTGTGAAATTACTAAAGTCGGGTTCTAGCTATATTAGGTTAGAACTTCTCATCAACAAAAGCATTGTTTGGCAGCGTCTAGTAGGCCTCATTTTCCATATTTTTTCCCCATCCGATATAATTACCGTATTTATTCGAATAAACGCCCCGGATTGTAGAGAGGGGCGTTTATTTGAGGGAGGCGTTTCTTTTAGGGTGTAAAATGGATACGCATATAACTCAAATAAACGTCCCATAATTTCATTGTGTAAATGTGGAACTACAACATATAGGCCTAGGCCCTACGTGTATTTACCGTCAAATGTGTTATTGCGTGACTATAAAGAGTATTGATCCCAACCAGGTTAGAAAAAAATTTTAATTCTACGTACAGGGGTAGAACATTAATAGAATAAGCCTATGTTAAGAATGATGTTTCTTCCATTATATTATTTGTTTACATTCATTTAGGGGCGTTTATTCGAGGCAAAAATAAAGGCCCGAGGTGCTTATTCGATGGCGGTGTTTATTCAAAATAAGGCTCTCAGAGGGGGAGTTTATTCGAGGGGGCGTTTATTCAAAGCAGGGCGTTTATTCGAATACATACGGTATACGATTTGGTTTTAACTTTCGTTAATATCTGTTATCATTATAGGAAGGAATACCCCTATGTTCTTTTTTTTAAAGCATACATAGTAAGTCTAGTTGTAATTGTAACTATCATTTTCCATATTAGTGTGTGATTGCAATGCTATCTTAGGCCCAATGGCTTACTTCATATTTGTAGGGTTATTTATCGGCCACGTTTTTTTGCTTATTAGGCAACCACCCCAACCACAGGCTTATTTGAATTAAAGAAGCCATTACTAAAATTACGCCTATTAAAATTCATTACTAATGGACATTTGAAGTAAGTTTGTTAAAAAACTTTACGAACATTAGTTTGAAAAAACCCAAAATATGATCTCTCCCTCTCCATATTTTTTATTTAGAGGGAAGGCTTTGGAATTTTGCTTCTTGTATTGCCTTGTTGTAAATTGTGTTTCTTTAATGTTGCCTTATCAAGATGATTTACGTATCAATAGAGTACCCATATTATCTTAATTTTTGTCTTTTAATATTAATAATGCAAAAATTGTGTAAATTAATGTTATAAATATTACTTATACGTCTTGTACTATTATAAATGTTGGACGGCCTCGTCTATTTTTAGTCATAAGACATTGATGGCAGTCTATCAAAATATAAATTTATTATTATCTCATCTTCAATAACTATACAACTTAAAATGTTCACTTCTCCTTTTGATAAGACAGATGCAGGCCTAGTCGAATGCTGAATGTGTTATACTATTAAGCAGCATACGTGCACACAATTTATATCAGTTATGGGAGTCGTATAGGCAGATGATATGACCGTAGTTCTAGCCAGGCTACGATGAGGCCGTCGAGTGTAAAGGTACATCAGCGGTAATAAACTTGAAAAGTCGGTATGCCGCATGATTCATCCCTTGCGACACGTTTCACTTGCCGATGTCAAAGATCACTTGACAAAGATTAACTTCTTATTGTTTTGGGTATGTGTAGGCCTACTGTGATTAGTTGAATTACTTGTAGAATGCGATAACTCGTATTGAAACCACCACTCTGAAGAGTATAGCAGACTATAGTTCCACTATTCCTGACTGGTGAAGAAATGTGGGCATCGCCTTTCCATTCTACAAGTCGTGGCAGTGGTGGCTCCAGCTACCTGCCCCTCCGATTCCCCGACTGAGTCATGGGTCTCTGCAAGAGACATTTTTCACACACTCTGTTAAGGAACTTCTTCATTGAAGGGCTATGCCCGATACGTTTATAGCGTTTGTTTATATATATATATATATATACTTATACACATCTAGATGTGTATAAGAGACAGCCCTTAACCTGTGAAATTACTAAAGTCTATCTTATATATAAATAAAACAGTATAAAATAATCAATAACTATTACTGTTACAATTACCCTTCATCATCATCTGTTTCCTACCTACTGGCAGCAGTTAATTTCTCAAATTTTCTCTTTCATATGATCTACGTTTCATGATGGCATAGCTTTCATTTTTTTCCTTCAGGTTTAAATCCTCAATAAGCGCCTCGGCGCTTAATTGGGAGTCCATATTAAATTGTGTAATTAAATACATAGAGAAACAGGGTTTTAAATACAATGATGTGTTCAAATAACACAATGAAGACGCGCAAGCATATCTTCATACATTTTATTAACAATGATGTAGGGTTTATGATAGGCCTACTGAATTAGGCCTACTATGAATCTGTCTCTTATACACATCTAGATGTGTATAAGAGACAGATATTGGATCGCAAAGGTAGTACTTTTATCTTTAGTTAGTNNNNCGAAATACGCAGAGCTGTGTGTGTGTACCATCCAAGATGGCTGCCATAGATTCAGCCAATCAAATTTCGCCTAAGCGCCGTCGTTTGCAATTGCGCCCTCAATTTACACAGAACGTTCAGTACATCATGTTTGAAACTCGAGCGTTGCGGTGTATCTGTCTCTTATACACATCTAGATGTGTATAAGAGACAGATTATGAATTCTGCACTGCCTGGGTCGTTTAGTTCTTAGAAATTAAATTAAAATGATCTGCAATTTGCCTAGTTACGTCAACAACTGTCTCTTATACACATCTAGATGTGTATAAGAGACAGGTCCATATTAAATCGTGGAATTAAATACATAGAGAAACAGGGTTTTAAATACAATGATGTGTTCAAATAACACACTGAATATTTTAAATAAGCGGCGATTTTTCGAGGAATTACGGTACAACTACTGTTACGATTATGTTATGTTGTTATGTTATGGTATGCTATAACATTGATGGATACACAGACTTGAATGTAAAGGCGAAAAAAAAAAAAAAAAAAAAAAAAAAAAAAAAAAAAAAAAAAAA